GAGTCAAGGTAAGTAGCAGAAACAACAGGTTTGTAACTCAAGTGCAAGTGTTCAATTTGCGTAGCGACTAACGACATGCACACTGATGAACATTTGTGTTGGAAAGTCAGGTTTTCCAGGATCTTACCCTCCCCAGTATCAGGCTTGTCGTGTTTCATGTCTCCTCCCTTGCCCACGACAGCTGGCATTAACAGCTAAGAGAATCCACATGGGATCGCTGTGAGGCACAGGGGACAGGAAAGACACACACACACACACACACACACACACAAAAGTGTCCACAGTTCTTTCCCCAGGCCCTGAGCAATGCCAGCAGACATGGGAGGATGGCAGAGCCAGGACACAACCCCAGGATCCTCCCCTGCTGAGCCAGCCATGCTGCGTGTGGAGCCTGGACATTCTGCCACAGCTGCCTAGAGCGCACCCGAGCCAGCTTGGGGACAACTGGCAGGCAGTGACCAAGTTCAGATTTAGTTAATCCTTTGCTCCGGCCTTTTGCAGAGTTCAAAGGATGATTTTTTTTTTATTTTTTAAGAAAGCCCATATCCTCCTTTTGTTTGGTACCCAGAATGCTGTAATCAAAGCGATTTCCCTAACTCTCAGGGCTCGATATTCATTGTATCAGATGTAATATGACCGGGGTATTGTCAAGATCTGTAAACAGGAAAAAATCACTTGCGCTTCTTTTCCCCCTGCCCTCCAACCAGTAGTAGAATTTAAGGGAATGTTGACGACTTTTGTTGTAACACCTAAATAACATCATTCCAAGTTGCACCAGAACAGAGGGAAGGCAAGAAGATTAGGATATTCAAAAATAACTTTATATCCTAATCAATATGGTAAAGCCAAAAATTCTGAACATCTGCCCATAGGCAAACAAATATAATGAGGAAAAGTAACGTCCCTTCTATTAAAGCATAATGTAACATCTTGGGGTTACATGACAGAAAAGAGGAATCGGTGATGCATCTGCATCCAGACTGTTTAAAATACACCAAATATTTCCTTCATGATTTTGGGACCTGGGTCTTTTGTTAGCATAGCAGAGTATTTAGGCACTAGTTAGATATGCAAGAAGTATATCAAACCTTAAAGTATTGTATTAAATATCCACGCAAATATATGAAAGATTTGATTTGGTTCTACTTCTCTCCCTTTATTAGGTCAAAAGTGAATGCAAGTGTGTCAATAAGCCAATGTCCTGCAGCTTATCACACACCAAATCAAAAATATAGAAAATAAATGATAATCCTATCTAATTACATAAAAAGGTAATTTTTAGAGTAAGTTTCCAGACTTGCACAAAATATGCAGAAAACTGCATACAATCAGTTTCCATAAGAACAGCAGTTTCATGTAAAAGGTGGGTCAACCTGCTAGCCCCATTTACTTTACCAAAAACTCTGGAAAATAGATGTTTGGAACACTGAGGGGCCTGTCCTGGTGAAAGACCCAGTGCTACAAGGATGAAGCCCTGGAGAAAGCCTCTCCATCCCCCACCCACCTTTGCAAATCACTTTGTGGCATGACACAGCAAAAATAACTCCATTCAGGAGTAACGGTGATTTAACGGATCGTGACAAGTGTTGTTTCTAAAACTCAGTACAAGTGGATCAGGCAAGGCTGTTAAAATCATAGTTCAGTGTTCTCATCTGCAGTTGTCCTCCTCCTGGCCCAAGCAAAGCAGAACAGCTGACTGAGGAGCAATTCTGTGGCCACCCCACTGGACCCAGCACCCTTCTCTCGTTCTCTCTCACTTCCAATCACTTGCAGTACCTCAGGCTCCTTTCTGCTCCACCTCATCTTTCTCCCCATTTTCTGCCACCCAGCCTGCTACAAAGGACTCAAAAATGCAGATGAGAGGAACTACAACAGCGCAGCAAGTGTAAACAGTTAGTAGGCCTGCCACATCTTTATTGCTACAGGTTTGGCAAAGGGGCAATCTCCATCCTTGGGTGGAGTTTGAGGCAAAAGGATAATAACAGTTAAGATAAAAAGTGATGAACAGCAAAATTAGGAAAAGCAGTCAACATATTTCAGGGCTGTCAAAAAAACCCCAAACCCAAACAAAAAAAAAAAAAACCAAGAAAACCTGTTTCTGGAAGATACAGAAAAAAATCTTGCACTTGAAGGGTAGGCTTGCCTCTGACCCTGAAGTAGCGCTGTGCAGTGTGGGGTGGTCCCATCTGACCTACTGGCATGAATAGTCATCTTCCTGCCCCTCGAAGGCTAAGGCTACTACACACAGCTACCAGGACTCGGGGTTCAGTTCACAGAAGTCTCACAACTAGGGTCACTCCTTGTGCAATGTTTGATGGAGGTGAAGGTAAAGTGGTTTCTTGGTCAACAGTTGCAATTTCTTCCTTTTAAAGTCAGTGGGTTTTTTGTACCTGTAATCACAAGAAAGTAAGTTAATCCAGGTGCTGATAGCTGCGTAGGAAGATGAAAGCATAGAAAGCTTGTCCTGTACACATCTTTATTACTTTAATCTTTTAAATACATCTTACGAGACTTGGTAGAAGAGGCAATAATGAGTAGATTTGTAGGAAGACATTCAAACTAATATCTACCTTGGATTATTATTTCAATTTTTTAAAAGACTGTAGGGTTTTTGTAAGGAGAATTCACAATATAACATGAGTGCAGTATCAGTTACTCAGTACTTCAGAAGTACTCCAGCTAGCACAGACCCAAGCACTCTTCCTACAGATGCCCAGAATTGCAAAGTTCACCCTCTTCCTGAAAAAAACAACTCGAAAAACCTCCAGTAAGGAAGGGTATGATACACACCATAACCACTGCAGCACAGCCAGCTAATCTATTTCTTTATATACTTAGAGCAGGAAAACACACAAGCATCCAACAATGTTTCAAAATGATGATAAAATTCAATTAACTTCGTACAAAAAATTAGTTACAAACACCAGCATTTTACTTGGAAATTGTTCAGTTTTTGAGAAGGGTCTCTAGCCATTTTATTTGCCTAAAAGCATTTTATCTTCCCTTCTTCATTAAAAAATAGCATGTTCCTTATGGAAGTCAATCCCTGAATGAATGAACGAACCACATGTTGCAACTGAATTCTAGTTCATTTCCTCTGCCACTGACATCTATAACTACAAATCACTTACAGTTCTATAACAATTGCCCCAGGTTTAATTTCATCCATCTCCATGAAAGCAAAGCACTTGGTGCTAGTAAACCTTTTCTTAGGCTTGTAGTGTTTGAATTCAAAGAAAATAGCTGCACCTAGAGAAGAAAATGGTTTAACAGAAAAGTTAGTAATTATGGCCAACAGTCACCTGAAAACTTATCTGCCATTAAGATGCTCTACGTGCGTTGGAGGAAATTATCTCCAGTGCTTCCTTTATTTACTCAGAAGCTCTCCCACGTTCTCACAATGCTCATCACACTCACAAGAGCTTGTATTCTTCACTCAGTTATTCATGACCAGGTAACAGTTTGTCCAGAGGGCGATAAAGTAGCTTAACACCCTGTACAGCAGAGCAGGCTGCTGCATTTTTACCTCTTTTCATTCCTCCCTTTCCTGCAAGTCATCGCAATGACCGATTTGAAGAGACAGGATGCAAAGGTCTATTTTTATCCTCGTCTGGACCTTGAACCCTACAGCAGCAGCTCAGGCACGGCCTGTTGATTAGATCAGGAGCAGCCTGGTGTCTACACTTCCAAAGCTCTTGGGCCCTCTCTCAGGTCTCTGATACCACATACCTTTTGTTAGTTTTTCAATGTGTTTCTGAATCTCAATGTCCACGTTGAAATGGACATACATGTCCTCCTTCCTCAAAGCCACAGGAGTATCTTGCACAGGAGTCAGATCTATCCCATTCAAGTCTGCAGGAAAGAAACAGCATGAGAATGGTGGAAGCTTCTCAGACATTAAGGTCCTGTTTTAAGAGATTTATGAATCACTCCTAATACTGCCACCAAAAGTTAATGCACTCATGGATTTCTCCCCTAAACTTAAAAAAGGGACAATCACGCCCCTTCAGAGTCACTGAATTTCCTTTTTGATTGCAACATGAAAGCAGAGAGAGTTCTAACAGCATTTAAGATGTAAATTTGGAATCGTCCCACTTCTGCAGAGTACATTTTTTTCCGCTGCCAGCAAGATGGATGAGATATGTGCCGCAGGCTGCCCTCCACACAGGGTCTCCAGTGCACAGCTCACACCGGCTCTGTTTTCCCCGCTTTGCTGCCGAGACTCCACACATATTACCCCTCTTCCTCCTTCCATGGACAGAGGCCTGGTGGAGCCACCAGGTTGGCCTCCAGCTTTAAGCACCACCCGGGCCGGGTACAACCACCACAGATGATAATGCTTCTCACTAAGTCTCTACTGTTGACAGGAGTACATTTGTCCTCTTTCTCCTCTCACTAGTGTCTCCTTTCCCTCAGATGGAGGAAAGCTGCTAACAGCGTGGCCAACATCACAAGTACAGAGCCCATGTGTTGTGCCTGGGATACAGGCTGGGACCACCAATGTGGCTTGGTAAACCTCTCCCCAAACCCACAGAAGAGCAGAAGAAGGAAAACAGCTACTAAGCATCTTCAGACTTTTCAGAGTTACTTTTCCTGATTTCTTGATAAATAAAATATTAGAAGTCACCTTTAGCAGATCAGGTGATAGCCTGCCCCCACACACACTTTTTTAATCCTATTTTCTGTATCATTACTTGGCAGCCACCATTTATAGAAGCCTGCCAATAGAGCACCACACCTTAACAGAAAGACTCACTGGGAAAGTAAGTGTAGCAATATACACTTTCCCTTGGCTACAGAAAAGAAAAGAGAACTAGCTCTGAAGGTGAGCAACAGTGTTAAAAACATGTAATAAGTTAAGACGGACAAACACTTCAGTAGCAAGGAACAACAAATGTTTGCTTTACAAGTTCTGGTAAGTTTCGGGATCCAATGTTAGAACTCCATTAGCGCTGGGATTTTCCTGTTGACCAAGAGAGGATTAAACCCATATCCATCCAGCTAAGCCCACCACTGAACTGACTAGGGGGCTGGTTAGCTCAGTGGGTTGAGCATGGTGCTGACAACAATGACAACACCAAGGTCGCGGGTTCTATTCCCGCTGGGTCCCTGTGTGTTGCCTGGTCTAGTCGAGAGGTGGCGTCCCTGCCCATGACAGGGAGGTTGGACTAGATGACCTCTAAGGTCCCTTCCAGCCTAGGCCATTCTACGATTCTATGACCCATCCTTCAGCTTTCTGGCACACTAGAGGCAAAGAGAGATCCACAAGCGACAAGAGAAATGGAGCCTGAAGAATAGTTACACAATCTAAAAACAATGCTGCGAACGTAAGGCAACACCATCAGCAAAGAAATACTGCACATTTTCAAGACTCAAAACACAGAGAGGCACTTGAATCAGCTGGGGAAGGCAAGAGCCAGGCTCCAGCTTCCAGCCCAGCCAGGTGAACTCCTCAAAGGTCCACAGAGAAGTTGAAGGTTTCACCACTGTAAAAATCATGCCAGGAAGCGGGATTAGAGGAAGGTACTATCTATATATATTTTGACAGGTAACACTTGAGAAGATCTCTGGGATTCAAGTGACATTGAATACCATGACCCATACTTCTGCCAAAGAACTTGTCTGGTGGATGAAGCACCTGATCACATCTCTGACAAGTATTTTATCCCTACATTTGGTATCCAATAGCACATCTGAAGAGGACACATACAAGGTCACGATCACAACTGAAAATAACTAGAAGCTGTTGGCTCAGCCATAGATTTTTATATGATAAACAACAAAAAAAAGTCATATGCCTCACAAGATTTTGAAGATAAGCAGAAGTCAAGCAGGACAAGTTAAGGATAAGAAATTCAAACTACAAGGGCTTCCTACTAAGAAATGCAAAATGGGGAAGAGGCAGATGTTTCTACTAGAAAGAGTCTGAATGCCAAAAATCTCAGCCTTGAGCAAAAGACATCCACTATATTGTAATTTGAAACAGTGTAAAATCCTAATTTCCTAATATCCTGGACTGCGAGGTTCTTCCAAATTCATGGAGGCTCTTAGAGGAGGAGGCTGCTAGCCCACCAGGCTTTGGCCAAATTATTTCACTGCCAAGGCTAAAACATATTTTATTTCACTTGCAAGCTTTGCTTCGCAGCTTTATGCCCATTCCTCTAAACCTTAAGCCTTGGTAAGATGATCTTTGGTTTACTAAAAAATTAGTTTAATGACAAGGGCAAGAACGGAGCCAGTGGGTTGTGGTTCACCATCTCCAGAAAACCCAGAGATCGCTATGTGTTGGGAGTACAAACAGTCCAAAGAGATCTGTATTTAAGAGTCAGCCGAAGAAGCTGGAATGGCAAAAGAAGTACAGTCTGTTGAGTCACTGATACTCGGTTCCCAGCTTGGGAAGGAACCCCGGAGTGCACTGATAAGTGTGTCTCCTGCAGCGATTCACCTCCCAGTGTCTCTCAGACACAGATTTTTTTCCACCCTTGATTAAAGCAGAAGCCTTAAGTCCAAAACAGAATATGCAAATGCCAACAGGCATTTATATAGGTTATATTCATATAACCTAGCAGGTTGAAAAAAATAAATCAATACAGCTTTCGGAAAACACACTCTCTCCAAACTAGAAATGAGAAGCCAGGAACAGAAATCATTACCCTTTACACTGACTGTGATGTAAGGATCAATGCACTGCCCAGCATCTTTCAGACCAATTTTCTCTATGTTGATGGTGAGTAATGTCATCCCGGGTTCAGATGGCAATCTGGGTAATAAAGTACCTGGAAAGAGTAAAGCACATTATTAACCCTTTGTGTCATCATACAGCAGAAGGTCTTGCTTATCTCCCATCATCTCTCATGGAAGATGCTGTTCTCCTTAGGGGGTTCAAAGCCCAAGGATTCACACCCCAATAGTTCACAGCACCATGGGAAAGTCTGTGTGTGCAGACACACAAAAGTATTTGACAGATTTCAAAGCCCCTACAAAAAAAAGCAACACCCCAGGACTGTTTCAGTTCAACCGAATTCATAAAAAACTAATGCCATAAGAACAGAGAGGAGCTTTGTTTCAAGAGTTCTTGCTCTCATGCAGAAATAACTTGTTCATGGAACTCACTTTATGTGATTTTTAAGGATTAAATTTGGGAGGCTGGATTCAATCTGCAGTTGCAGGAAGTTCAGACACTTACTCAGGAGTCCCACCCCACTGAGCATGACTTGGCTTCATACTGAATGTTTACACTGGGAGAATAAGGAGGAAAATGGCATTGTTGCAAATCCCACTGGGCATGAGGGAACCAGAAGGGAGATTCTTAATTATCCAAGTTCTACTGGCCTCTATTTAAAGAGTGGGAGAAAGTGTTTGCATCGCTCAAGTTCCCTTCTGCCTTAAAGAAGGAGTTCCCAGCTCTGCATCATCAACAAACTTCATTGTGAGCATAAAGGAATCCTCACTGTGCTGAGGAAGACAGTGCAGCTGGCAAGAAATCCAAATTGTTCAAACTTACAAAAAGCCATGAGATTCTGTCATCGACAGTGGAGAAGTTTTCTTCATGCTGATTCTAGTGAAAACTGGCAGGCTTTTAAGCCTTTCTCCAGTGTTAGATGAATAAGGACTAAGTCAGAAGATGCTTAGACTCATGAGCTAATTTGATTTAAAGCTTTGGTTTTCTAATTTAAAAAAAAAAAGTTATCCCAAGGCTTGAGATCTAAACAAAGTAATAGTTTCCTTTGGCAAGTCCAATGTGGGTTTTTCCTTGATACTTTTATTTTTCCTCTTGATTTGCTTGAGGAGCTGGAGAACCAAGGAGTTTTTCTCCTATTAGAGAGACTGGCTTTGCAAGAAGGGACCTTGTATTCTGCTTTCAGAACTAGAGCCACAGCTTCAGCAAGGTTTCTTGAGCCTTCCCACACCCAGTCCTTCTCTCAGGTTCATCAGCAAGACCTGCATTCACATCTGTGATGCAGTACGTTTCTCTATGTCCTGTCCTGGCTGCTAGCAGATTCACAACTACAAAGGTATCGTGTTTGCAGAGACTTCACAACATATCACAGCAGAATTTGACCCGCTATTCTGAAGTAATGGGACAGGCCTCTGACTATACTATAAGAAACATTAAAAAGCAAACCTATTACCACCCATTTCCACAAAGCAGGATACACGCTCTAGTTAATCTTGCTGTCTTTCTTGAATAGACATTTAAAGACATAGTTCTTATTTCAATCTAAACGAAGGTAGAAGCAATCTCCTCTTTGGCACAAAACTTTGCTCTGCCATCTTTCAGTTGTCTCCTAAAAGCGGCATGCCTCCCTAGAACAACTGTAACCTTCAGTTGTTCTACCCACCACTCACGGGGAGTAAGTCATGGGATACTTGAGAGAAAAACGACCAGGAAGATGCATCAGACTGGCATTTATTATAAACAATTGCTTAAGAAAAATTACTGTTCTTGAACAATGCTTTCCAGAATGCATGAAATTGCAGAGTTGCAATGAACAGAAAAGTCAAGCTCGCTTCCAGTAGGTGAGAGAACAGTAGGATAGATAGTCTCCAGGGAACATGATTTCCTGTCTGCCTCAGCTGGAGGAACAGCCAAACCAGCAGCTGACCCTAACCCGTCTGATGCGAACCACAACCACCCAAGCAGGTCTTTCACCAAGGCCCCCGTAGTTTTTTCATGTAGGAGCCATTAGCAGACAGTAACCTCCCTGTGGCATTTTACCTTGGGCTGGGCTTCACACTGCCAGTCTGCTGCCACCATGGCCTGAACCATAGAATCATTTACGTTGGAAAAGACCTTTAAGATCATCAAGTCCAACTGTTAACCTTGCGATGCCAGGTCAGTTGGGCCCATTAGCCTTCAGCAGGCTCACACTGAGGCTGCTTTTCATGAGTAAACTGCAGCTGTTTCAGACACAACCACAGAGCATCACTGCCAGAGGGGGAAGGGAGCATCTCCAGATGAAATAAGTGTCCAAACCATTGAGCCAAACCACCAGCTCACTGCCACCCAGACACAGGTGTTGAGTCTCTCCGTTCCCAAGCTCTGATTTGGGGAGAGGGGAAAAAGCGACAAGTCTCCTGCTGTGTTCGCAAATGGAAATGGTTCGCAGAAGAATCTATTGCCAGCACAGCAGTGGAATAATAGAAGTGTGTAACCAGGAGGAAAGGCAGGAAACCTTTGCTGTTAGAGGCAGCAAGCCATTGGTCAGTTCAGCTCCATACAGCCCAGAAGTTTAATTACAGAAGTAGTCTTTGTGTAAGATTTCCCATAAAATGTGTATTCCACTAGAGACAATCTAGCTACACCTACCTTTGGCTACACTGCAAGTCAGAGTGTCTTTATTAGCACAGCAGGACTTCTTCTATGTAAGATGCATCACTAAATGCAACCTTCTCTTTTTCTGGTACTGAAGGCCAACAAAGATCAACACATGCCTAGTTTTATGACTGTTATCAAGGATTGTATTTTGAGGGTTGAAGCTAAGAGCTGCATGAAGAACAGACTGTTCAAGACTTGAACAGACAAGAACTTCAACATGAACAGACTTGTCAGAGTTAGGTTAATGATTGTGCTCAACGATCTTAAAGATCTTTTCCAGTCTGGGCAATTCTCTGATTCTGTAACCTCACAGCTACGTGAACACGATCAAAGAAATGACTGTATATACTCAAAGGTTATCATACCTTCATTGGCTCCTGGGTTAGATGAATGGTGCAATGTGATAACGATGAAGCCATGCATGTAGAAGACAAGATCACGATCAGTTAGACAATACAGTTATGCACTATGGATTAAAGGCATATAGAAGCAAAGAATACAACACGCTTCTATCAATTCCATATGGAAAGTCCACTTTACTTATAAGGCTCACCCCAGAAAGCTGCAAACGGCTGCGGTTTAGGCCTCCTCACCCAGCGAAAGAAAAACAGACCAACCTCCAGTAAGGTAAGGAACACCACGCTAATTTACATTCAATGGGGAAACAAGATCTGTGTTCAAGCAGCACATAAACCACATTAGAGGTTTAGATTATTGTAGCTGTGGGAAGGTTTACCTTAATACAAAAAATAAATTCAGGAGTCGGATATGCAGTTGATTAAGTAGGTGACAATGTAAAATATCAGTAAGTTCAGGAGTTGCTCTTTCCAGCTCTTAATAGCATGGTCTTACTGAGGAATTATTCTGTAAGAAAGCATATGGCCCAAACCTCTCTTACTTCTGATGTGGCTACCCTACTTCTTTGAAAATGATTTAACTGTAAACTCAATCTGTCTATCATCAGTTTAGACCCCTTCTGAAGTACATACACAGCTTCTACATCCACTATATGCCTACACCTCCAATGGGTTGCACAGAGGTAACTGTTGGCCCTATGGTCACAGCCTTACTATTTTACCACCATAACCAAGAGCTACTCAAGGTCTCTGTGCTTTTGGACACCTGTCCCAGTGACTAGCATGGATCAAGGTAGTAAATGCCAGCAATAAACCACCACAATATATTATACCCTATTTGTGAGCTTAGCACGAACAACTGTAGACCGTGCAGATCTAGATCAGTATAGCCCGCAACTCCAGGACACAGTCATCACCACACTTAACACAGGCAGGGAGGATAAACATGGCAATCACCAAAAGCACCATGAGGAAAAGCCACAGGTATGCACTGCCTCAGATCTAAGAACAAAGATGCATTTTCTCCAGGCACAAGTAAAGCAACACATAATTCCAGTACTAGTTTCCCTACTTCTTATCTCCTTCCTGAAATACAACTTTTGCCCACCTGCTCTGAAACTAAAAACTTGTTTTTTCTGCAAAGAAACCATACCAGGAACCAAAAGAACACCCTACTCCTTTACCTGGTAAATTGTCAAAAGCTGAAGTTACAGAAGACCTGCTCTAGAATTTGTAGGTATATCCAGTTCTACAAGTACTTTCACATGGAGAATGACTTAAGATACCTCCTCTTTATCTTCTCAGAGCTAGGCTTTAGTCTAAGCCATTGTCTTGCCAGATGATGTAACACAAAAATAACCTGCAATAACTTAGTCCACTTCTAGGAGGATGTGATGCTCTTTGCACGAACAACATTGCCACAAGTTACATTTGAGAGCATTTGAAACGCTTCACAGAGTACAGTTAAGCAAGTGCATGGAATGCAAACACTGAGTTTGACCAAGGAATAAAGGCTAATAATTTGAAGCAGATGGTACCACCCTCACAGGTTATCCATATGATTGTTTCACAACAAGATATTTGCTGAGGAAAAAATCTACTGGCCACCTTTGTGGTTCTCTGATACAGCATTAGAGTTAACACTAGCCTGTTGCTCCTCATTCAAACTTTTCCAATCACAGGTGGTGAAAGGGGCTTCTTAGAGACAGAACTGACACATGCTACATAGGCCAGCATGGCAAAGCTAGTGCCCCTACCTGGAACTCTCGCAGGAAAACAGTCTGGAGACCCTGCTCCAGCTCCCCCTTCCTCATCATCCTCCTCAAACTCCAAGTTTTCCTCTTCTCCAGGTGCTAAAATCTTCCTGTAAAACATGAGGAAGAAGAATGAGACCAAAGATCATTCACTGCCTGCCTTTGAACTCACAAGTCAGCATCTGGAGTGTAGAGCAGGGGCAACATGCTTCAAAGTCATTTCATGCTTCTTGTTAACAACTATGTGTACCTACAGACTCGGACCAAGATCGCAGTAGCTCAGCTCAACGGAAAGCAGAGAGTCTAAAATAAAGAGACAATACTGGCAATTTCAGAGAATCGTAGAGATGTACACCAAGTCCCGATTTTACTCAAAGCATGGACTTGATTTTTAGTGGTACCTAGACAAACGGAATTCAGAAGTTCTTGTATTAACCAGTCTACCCAAAGCAGTACAGGAACTAGGTGGCTCTAGAAATTCTCGTGTTTCAGGTGTACACCAGTCCCCAGGCAATGCTCCCTTTCAGACACGTATCTGTAGACAAAGTGACACAGTTCTCTCTTACCTGAGTGGGACAGGCTGGACATCAAAGGGGAACTCCTTATTGTAAGTGAGGATATTCTTTAGGACTGCAGAGAAGGGGAAAAGTTAAAAATCCATACCCATAAAGAAGCATTAATTCTACTACTCTGTACAGCTATGTCCGTTCTCACAGCACCTTCACACACAAATCATACAAAAACCCAACCCCTTCTCTCATATTTTAGACACCAGGGCAGTCCTGATCAGAGCTTATCACTCTAACACTCAGACAGGCTGCCCACAACTCCAGGACACAGTCATCACCACAGGCAGGGAAGATAAACATGGTAATCACCAAAAGCGCCATGAGGAAAAGCCACAGGCCCCGCCAGGGCCAGGGGTAGCAACGTTCGGTAGCTGCTGACAGGAGGGTGGTGCCACCACCAGCATCAGCCTCAAACAGACTGAAGTCTCCAGAACTGACCCACTGAAGCACACGTGTAGACTGCATGTTCAGACACTCACTATGAGACTCCAAGCATGCTGGTAACACACAGCTTAGCTGAGATTTCGTACTTCTTCATCCATGTATTTTGGGGATTTTGTTGTTGGTGGTGGTGGGTTTTGTTTGGTTTTTTTCTTATTTTTTTTCTGCCCTCAGGCGTCTGGGCAGACTGGCAAAATTCAGAAGAGATACAGTGCACCATTTGAGCATCAAACTCCAAAGACACCGACCATAATCTCCAGCATTCTGGGGAGAATGGCTTTGCTGTTTGCGTTGGAAACTTACTCCAGTGTTAGTAATCACAGCTTCAGCTGTTATTTCCAAAAGCATTTACAAGAAAAAGCCAAAGTTCCGAAAGCATGTGAAAGGAAGAGGCACTGTCCTACCAGAAAAATGAGTATCCCAGACTGGGTAGGGGGACAGGAGTAGAAAAATCAAGTTCTCACTTGGCCTCAGTTTGCAACAAGCTCTCTCAGAGCATGGAGAATCTCCCCTTAGGACTAATGAATGAAAACCAGACTGTTTTAAAACATCAATGTTAAGATAACATAAATACTCAGAGGTACTTAAATACCAGTTATGTTTAAGGAACCACTGGCCAGCCCCTCTGCTTCTGCACACTACAGCTCAGGCAGTGTAGGAGAGCTTCCCTGTCCGTCTTCACATTCACATTGCCCTGTGTGGGCTCCCTCATCAACTTACCAGACACCATCCGAATGCTGCAATGAATAAAGAACCCCTCAGGGAAACTATAAAGAACCCAGAAAGTCTCTCCAGTCTTTGCTCATTCTGATTGGTTTTTTTCCCAATCTCTGTAACCTGAGAGGTTATGCACTGTCTGATTCCTGCTGGACACAGCTTTAACTTGAAGTTGCCTTTAGTCAAAGATGTGACAGACAAAACCGATGCCAAGTGTCTCTCTATCTCCAAAGACTTCTGCTCCCAGGGATCAGAAATGCAGATCTCAACATGGAGGCAAAGATTCATAGCCAGTTCCAACAGAAGAATAGCTGATTAGTAACAGACAGTCACCTCCCAGCATAGCTGAGGTTCAGGAAGAGTCGGGGATTTTTATCACTCGCAGAATTCCCCAGCTCTTAGAGAGCTACCTCATACCGGAGACAGAAAATGAAACTGCCCCAGGCAGAAAAATCTCAGTAATGCGAGATCTCTTACAGATCACAGGCACATTATATAGAAGCAAGAGAAATTACAGTAGTTCTCCTCCCATCTTCCAAAGGCCGGTAAGCACTAGATTGCTCTCCCCAGTAACCAGCTTCTCTCACTACTCGAACGAACGTCCTGACAAAAACCCCACACCTTCTAGTGATACATCTCAGTCAGCACTAGAGGGCACAAAATACTCCACTGACAGGAGCACAGGAAAAAAACACAGGGATTTACAGCGCTTAAAACCTTGAAGCTGCCCGAAGGCAGAGCTGAGCGTATGGCCCTGCCCAGGGCAGGACGCTGCTTTCAGACATCCCGGCAGAGCTGGTCACAAAGGTGATGCTGAATATTTAGCTAAGAAACACTTCTGGAAACACTGCCCAGAATCTCTTGCCTTTTGCTGCAGGAAGCTGTGGATCAAGTTTTTAAAAGGCCTCCAACTCTGTCTCATTAGCAAGAGCAAATAATTTTGCAAGGCCCATGTTAGCTCAGTCAGTTGAGCGTGGTGCTAACAACACTAAGGTTACGGGTTCGATTCCCGTTTGGTCCCCATGTGTTGCCTGATCTAGTTGAGAGGTGGCGTCCCTGGTGACAGGGAGGCTGGATTAAAATGATCTCTAAGGTCCCTTCCAGCTTAGGCCATTCTGTGATTATAAGGCTGTAATACAGCAGTTCACTAAAGTGCTCCTTTAAACATCATCGGTGTAAGAAGTGGATCTACTACGGCACTCTGCTCAGTGAAATACTTACTCAAAGTCACTAAAAAAAAGCAAAGCAATAAACCAACAATGCAACAATCATCCTTTACGAAGGAAAATCCTCTTTACAGCTATCATAAGCATGAGTTTCAGTTTTAAATAAAAATAACCAGATAACAGAGAAAAAAATCCCTGAACACATCATGTTACAAGGAATGGGACTCGGGACTCTCTTGGAATGCTGTGTAGGGCACTCAAACTTTAAGAGGCTGGTTTAGTTTTTTTTGTTTCTTGTTTTGTTTTTAAAAACACACATCACCTTTGGGAGAAAGAGCACTTCTCTGTAATGCTGCTGCTAAGAAAATGATTCACAGAAAGATTTCCACACACGTAATAGACACATCCCTGCATTGTGGCCTCCATTTATGTGGCTTTTCCAATAGAAATCTTTTTGAAATACAGTTCTGAAGGCTCTCGTGCAGAAGCTGCCTTTTCTTTTGTGACGCTGAACATTCATCACATTGATTTTATCAGCAGTTGCCTCTCTTTTGAAAGATTTCAAAAGAAATTATCAACATGAGCCACAGGACCAGTACGCAGTAACTTGGTAAAAGACCACTGTGTATTTAGATTTTTAGTGACAGCATGTGATACTTCTACTGATTTTTTTTTTTAATAGAAAACAAAATAATTCAGATACCAGCCTTCTGGTACAATTCAGTATCTGCTTCTTCTGAAGATTCTTCTGATTCTTCTGAATCTAGTCACTTAGCGGCTAGAATTATGGCAGGGAACTTGGCACATGGGATGTCCCAGCCTATCCATTTGCAATGCGTATTATAATACTGGCAGTAGCTTTCACAAGGAAAAGATTTGTGAGGTCCAGTGTGTCAGCAGTAATTTCACACAGTGTAGTCTCAAAAGAACTATTTGTGTGTACGGTCCCTCCTGTAGCATTATTCTAGCACAAAAGATTCAGTGACAAATCTTATAAACACACAAAACCAGCCAACTGCTTCACTTTCCAAGCAGCATGAAATGCAAGCTTAAGTAGGAAGAGTTAGAACTTGACAACACAAGATTTTTTTTAAAAAAAAAGTTTAAATCTAAGGGCCTTTGTTGTTATAACAACACCCAAACCAAACTTCTCGGCCATTTTGACAGCTTCAGGCACAAAACTAATTAAAACAAGCCAAATTGTGTAAATAGCTGTTTTCATTCCACCCTAACAGAATAGCTTGACCTAACAAAGGAATCACTTATTTGCATAGCCAGCACAGGTTTTTTTAGCTTTTTCTGGCAGAATGCAAGAGAAAATTGACAAAACACAAATTAACACACTTCACGGTGTATTTTATGAAATGGCTGGTGTTGGCCTGATTAAGATTTACTCTATTCAAGTTATACTTAAAAACCACAAAACAAAGGCACAATTCAGAGAGACAGAGGCCCAAACAATCCAAGTCAGAGAGCAGCATTCAGAACATCAATGTTCAATTGTAGTAGAAGCACCCGTTCTCCTCCAAGGAAAATAACTCAGTGTCTTTGAAAACTGAGGGCTGCACACTCTTCCTCAGTTTTAATATAGTCGCCTGTTATAGGAGGTGTGGGCCGGATGCACTTCACACCGTTGAACAGTTTTTTTGACAGGTAAAAATCATTCTGTGATGGAAGGTGAGACAAGCAACAGGACTGTGGCACCATAACTGAAATTCTGGATTTTAAGAAAAGGAGACATTTCAAAGGAAGCTTCAACAGTCATTTCTTCTGATGTGTAGAAAGGTTTGATCAATTAAAACATGACTCCTCTCCCTCTTCCACCATTCAGTCACTCACCAGGCATTTGCACAATGAAGTCTAAAATCCACAGTCATTACATGACTACAGCATTTTAAGTACTTTGTAAAGAGAGAGCAGGAGTATGCATATAAAATATCCCAAATCAGAGGGTGCATACATAGATTGAGAAAGATCTAATACTCCCAACACAGTTAAACCCTTTCCTGAGTTACGGTCTTCACAGATCTAGCAGTCTTGTAGCCCACCTTCACTTTCCACTCTGAGGCAACAGTTTAAAAGCATCTGGTGTCTATGTCTTGGTAGAAACATTAGGAAGCTGAATTCAACATCCTGCATCTTGACAAGATTCCCTGTAGGATCCTGTGACAGTTACTTAGGTAATATGAGTGCAGAGAAACTCAGTGCATTCATCGGGTGGAAACACTTGCCTTCCCATCATGTTTATTATCATCCTCCTTAATGATACGATCATGACGGAAGCAAAATAAAATCAGCTCTTGCCAGCCCAAAAGCAGTTCTTCCACATCCCCCTGTTCCCCAAGAACTGCAGAAACATCAGCATTCTGGGTAACATTGCTTAGATACGGACTGGTCATAAGGATGCTTTGAGAATAAAGCAGTCAGTGTTACAAGAAGGAAAATGTAGCAGGTAAAAAGACACTTCCTAAATGGAAAAGTTATTTCTGGATTGACACGCCAAGAACTGACCCTGGGTCAGTTGAGAGAAAACAACATTGCACAAAACCCTTCAAAGACTGACTCACAGCCTCACTTTGACTCTTAATTTCGTTAGTCTGGTAGCATTACAGTGGTAAGTGACAGGTGATTGGCTGCCATGAGCACAAGTTAAATATTTTCAGAAGAAAAAATAAATTTCATGCTGCAAGGAGGAAGACCACAAAGTGTTGAAATCCAGTTGAAATAAGAAATGTGCAGGTAAATTTTCCAGCTGATTATATACTGTACTACTGATAGCTTAAATTACTATTTTGTGACAAAATTAGCAGCATCTAAAGGACTACTTATTTGAGAATAAACATGAATACATTACCTGAAACATTAGGAATACTATACTTTCAAGTTACACACATTACATTCCTTAATATGCATCAGGTTTTGTCCACGTGATAACAGGTATGTGGAAGAACCACCCAAAATCACCATTACTGTCAAACGGCACTATGGTCAGTCAGTACTCATGCTGCTGTCATATTTTCCACTGTAAGAGTAAGTGTCACTCACTTAAAATACGAAGATTCTACTTACTTGGTTCCAACTTCTTCAGATCCTCAAGCTTAAATTCATCCTGTGATTGGGTGGACTAGAATATTACAAAGAAAGTGTTAGATCTCAGTATGTACACTCCCCTTGGGTAGAGCTACTGCATCTCAGGATAAGCACGCAAGGTGCTTCCTTTGTTCAAGCAGACCAAGCTAATTCAAAGCTAGAGCCTAAAAATCCAAACAAAATCTCCCCAAGAGAGGCTAGGTTCACAGGTGAGGCAGAAAGTACATTACTCCTCATTTACTGAGAACAAATTTGTCCCATGTTCCAAGCTCTAAATGCAAGATAAATATTTTTAAAACAACCAGTTGCTCTTTCATACTTATTGCACAAAGGAGCATTAAAAGAAGAGGGACTTGTTTCAAATCTTCCCCGATCGAGTTTCTCTGAAGCAAGCTCACCTGTACGACTGCACTGCAAAGCGATGCTCCCACAGGAGCATTCACAGTTCAGGACATTGTAACACTGTCAGGACACAGGATGAGCTTGACAAAGCACTCAGGTAAGAGCTCACTGCAAATGGAAGCGGGATTCCCACCTCTGCTTTCTCCAACTCTGATGATGCAGTTTCTTCAGCTGTCTGTATCATGTCTGCTTCTCCATAAGCTTACTTGACTTACTAACTCAACAGAAAAGTTTTGAATTTTTTATTCTCAGGTAGCTCACCGACAGTTTGGTAAGCTCAACTAGCCTATTCCGAGATGATGAGTGGCAGAGGTGGCATAAGAACAGTGGTGCAAATAAGAGGATTGACACTGGGCATCCTCTTTCAAGCACAGGATCGGGTCTTACCTATTGTGTCATTGCACCCTTGACATCTCTTAAAACTGCCCATTATTTTCAACATTTCTTTCAGGCCTAACGCTGGGGTTTTTTCTCTTCATTTTGACCAAGTGTCAACTGGGACCTTCTGCAAGACTACAGAAGGACAGTAAAGCAGCTATACCCATACTGGTAGAAGATTGGGAAAAGATGACCACGCTCTCTGCTAAGAAACCATAAAAAAACCCACAGAAAGTAAAACAGGCCCCAGAGTGCAGTGGATAGAAGCTCTGGCACCCTCACACAAGGTTATAAAGTCCTTGAGTTATCGAGGAACCAACAGCAAAGAAGGTTACTCTTGCAAGAGTTTGGCAGGTTATGACATCGCTGCATCTTCTGCTGTTGCTTCGATTCATGCCCCAACCCACAAAACTGTCCCACAACGGAACACACCTACCCTCATCACAAAGTCACAGTGACTTTGAACAAGTGCGATGCCGTTCAAACACCTCAGGTTAAATCAAAATTGAAAGATGGCAGAGCTAACCAAGTTGTTTTCCAACGGGGCACAGCTTTGACGCCAGTCAACCCCCACATGCTCCTGGCCCATCGCCACATCCCAGCCCCTCGCTGCTGCATCTTGTATACAGCAAAGCGAAGTGCTCAGGAGAACTGCTCGGACTTGATGCAAAATTTGCCTGTCACCACTCTTTGTCAGTGAAGAGGTAACGTGGTTACATAAACTTTGCTTCAGTTAATTCATCCCCCCCCAAGCACAGTCTTTTGGAAACTTCTCTTCCTTCCCATTTGTTTTGGGGACATGACTGTATCGAGACCAAAAGAAATTCACTTTCATGATGTCTACTTTCAGTCCAGAAAAAAAACCAAAGAGTAGCTTCTAAATCATTATTTTCAGACATTTGCTTACAGCACTACCAGCTTTCATGACTGCTACAAAGTAATTTTTATTCTACACATTCCTCCTCCTGCTCTATTACGATTTGTGAAGTGACTAAATTAGTACAAGTGTCACTCCAGGAATCTTTTTTACCTTTGCACATAGGTTTGGAAGACAAGCTAATCAGTTCCGAAGGAGGAAAATAGACAAAGAACCAAAGACACAAAACCTGTGGTTAAATCCCTGTACAAACCCTAACATATGCCCATATAAGCACTTAAAGATTTTTAAGGCACATTGTGCTGACAAACTGAAAAGTCCGAGTGTCCAAGGGTTTGCTCACTCTGTTTTGAGAAGTTTTGGCTATGTCTGAAGACACTAAAGTAGCTTTAAATAGTGCTACAGTTGCCTATCACAAGAGTATGAAGTCACACAGGAAAAAGAGCTGTACCTGTAAAGCTGCACTTCTCAGTTCCAAGCATGTTGCAATTTTAGCTATGGTTTTCTGAAAAGGAAAAAGAAACCACAAAAGAAATTACTTAATTTAGTACTAAAACCTTATTCTTCTATATTTACATTTTTTAGAAGTATAAATACAAACACAATTGGGGTTTTTTTGCAAAGACTTCAGATCTATTATTCAGTACCAGAACAGCCTCAAAAGCTTTTTTGTAGACAAGCAAGATTTTCTGAAAGCACAATAGATGAAACAGACATCTGCCACTTCACTTCTCTCTCATAGCTCATCAACGCAGGCGGAGGTCATTCGCTCAGCAGAAGCTGCAATAATACCAACTACATCATAAATTGTTCATAAACGCAACTGCTCTGAAGTGATAGGGGAGGGGAAAAAACCTAAATCCAAACCAACCAGTGTATTACATTTCGAGAATTTGAATGGTTTGTTCTAATTTGCCCTTTTAGGAGTCATGCCCACAGTTCCTCTGTTGGGCTTACAATCTCAGCAGACCAAGTCAAGCCTCCTTAGAAGTTACAGAAGCCCAGTATCTCAGCTCTGAAAAAACACAGTCTGCTTCTGTGGGTTTGGGTAAGAGAGGAAGTATAAAGACAGATTATTTTCCTAGCTTTCTATTTTTGTAATTAGTTAAGACATTCAAACTCTGAGTGAAGCATGAAATCTATTCTTTGACTCTGACTTGTCAGCTATCTGAGCAGAACTGTGAAGTAATTTCTCTCTTTTTTATTTAAAAACGTAAAAGAGAGGCAAGGGCTTCAAAATAGCCCACTGCTAGCTGTCTTGCTTTGAAGATGGCTCTACTTCAGCTTTTACATCTCACAGGAAGCTCCAGCAACAATCGCATTTGCTTCCATTACTCCCAGGTGAAAGGAGGGGTTAAGACTCTCCTAACTGACATCAAGCAGACACAACTGCATGGTATGTTTTAGCTTGCCTGTCCTTCACAAGTTTGGTCATTAACTAAAAGGTTTTAGTGAAGAAAAACTGAAACTAACTTTCAAGATAAGGGCCTAACAGAATTCACAATGCTCTGTGGAACGTTTATAGGGAAAAAAGGACCAGCAACAATGAAGCTGCAAAGAAAAGCAGTGTATTTTCAAAGTAAGCTTTCCCCCTAGAAGGAAGATTAAAGTTGAAATACACACCTGTAACTCATTCTGTCCTTTTAAATTAGGCAGCATAATAAACAGCTCCCCCCAAAGCTGGGTGCAAGGGGAGCACAACTCTAGCATCAAAGAACTTCAAGAGTATGGGCATCTGGCACGTTTTGTGCCATCAGTTGAAAGCCAAACCCTCCCTTTAAAGAAGGGTTATGTTTTAGGGCTCCAAAAGGTTTGTAGCAGCAGATAAAAATGAGGCATGTTTTCATAACTACCTTTTCCAGTCATCTGCCCTGACTCTCCTGCAGAGGGATGTCACAACTCTGTCTCAATCTGCTTTGGGGCCACCACTAGTTTCAATAGGCTGCACTAAAAGTGAAGTGGCTCCAGTTTCAGTTCACGTTATGCCACACTAGAAGTTGAAATAGTTCAAGAGCCGAATCATGAGCAGATCAGATAGGGCAGAGCCAACAGCTGGAGCACATAAAAGCCTCAGATACCTGATTTTCATCTGCCACTACAGACCCATCAAAGCTATTTCTCCCCAGCCAGTATCTCCTCTCATCTTAAAATACTCTTTTAAACTTGGCATTAGCCCAGACTTTACATCCTCAGAGTTTGTATCAGTGTCCGTTGTATGAAGGTCTTCTAAAAAATTCAATTCTTCTGAGCACCTTCCAGAAAAGCAGTGAGTGGTGCACGTTAGCACAGGACACACGTTGTCTTCTCCTCTGCCAGGGATGCAGCGGTGTGCTGTTTGGGAACTTTAATACACAGGAAGGTGACCACAAACTTGCATGCAACACAGCGGAGTAAAAATATTACAGCTTCATTTCTGTGGAGGTTCATTCTGTAGTTTAGGTTCAGTCAACAAACTTCTAAGTCCCTGAAAGAAACTCTGCTACACAAGAAAGACCCATAGCTGGATTTCCAGCATAGCTTGGCAAAGTAGATTCTTGAAAAAGGAAGGAGTATGTACGGTCCTGAATTTGTTTTTGACACTTCAAGAGCCACAGACCACACACAGGTGTTGTGGTTTTACGTGTACTTTCAGGCTGGATGGGAGGACACCAGGTAGTAAAGTACTACAGCAACAGATTCTTGGTCCCTAGGGTGAGAATGTGCTGCATCCATCTAATCAGCCCGAGCGTAACAAGAGGAATTCCTTTTCATATTTGAGAACATCTGGAAAGATACATTTGCAAAGGTAGAACCTTAAAGAGGAAGGTGTGAAGTAATGGATAAAAGAAAGGAATCCAGTGGTTCCCTAGGGAAGGGAGGGGAAATCTCCGAGGTCTGAATACAGACAGCTCTAACATTTGCAAAAACCCAGATGTTCTGGTGGCTTGGGTCTTGACTACTGAGCAAACAGCACGCCTGTGTTAGATCAAAACCCCTCCGAATGCAGCACAGAAAGAGGGCGACAAGTTCGCAGGGTGCCAGCACGCAGTCTCTGTGCCTCAGCACGGAGGAATCAGAACGTGTAAACAGATTTTCATATGGCTCTTCCCCTCCCGGTCTCACAGGCAGAGCATTAAGCCCGCACCGTGAATGAGGTCTCAAGAAGTGCTGCTCAGCCCTCATCAATTCAGCGACAAGCTCAGCAGCACCCATTCCCTACTCTGCGGATTTGTAACCACACATTCCTAAAACTGCCTGAACCAGGTACCCCCTAACAGGTCAAAGAGCAGTTGAAAATGTGCGTCCCTCTGGCTCTTGGGGGATGAAGGGCAATAATGGCTCTAGAAACAGATTAATTTAAGACAGTTTGGGAGTCTTAAAATAGTAAAGAATAGGTTTTATATGGAATCTATTGAAATATGGCAAGCTCCCAGCAGGCATTATTCATAACTATTTTTTTAAGGGACCACACCCAGCCCAAAAGTTAAAAACGCAGCTAAACACTGCTATCATTTTCAGCTGCAGCTATCCATGCAAAGGCTCCTTTTCTGCAGCAGGGAAAACATTCTGCGTCTCACTAGAAAGACTGAAGCCATAATTAACTTTGCTAGTTTAAAACAGTTAAGATTCAGTTTTATGTAAACTCATGATTAGAAAGGGAAAAACTCAGTTGATCTCGTAGTCAAGGTTTCTTCAGAGCAGTTGTGTGAGTAATGACTGTGCTAACTGTAATGCAGTCAGAAATGTTTGCATAAATCCAGAGCCAGAGCAAAGTTTGGCTTTAAAGAGAGGTCTAGGCTGCTGGGAGACCAGTAGTTTAATGAATCATGCTAAGACCGTTCAACAGTGCTTTTATTTCAGCCAATTACCATTGCACACACACACACACACAATAAAAAAAAGCATGGTTTTCTAATAGCGAAGAAAAGTCAGCCTAGCACAAAAACAGTTACACGAGAAACAACAACTGCGGTTAGAAGAGGTCTTTAAAGGTCAAATTTATTGCGTGGAGAACTGGGTGAGAGTAACTATAGCAGGAGGCAAGCTGGCAGCCGTGGCCAAATGCAACTGAACAATTCATGCAGCAAAACACAGTGGCTGGTCATGAATGAAGGTGGGATTTGATTTTTTTTTTAAGAGAACAAAGGTAAAACAAAGAACAGCAGGATGCAGAGGTTAAGACTGAACTAAATCCACCAGCAACTGTATCTGTTAATACTCCAGATGCACAGATTCCGTGTGATGAAATTATTGTGCAGCCTCCTTAAAGCTGTTGCAGAGTGACTAGATTTAAACACAATCATTTGTTGTTTACAGTACTCATCTGCAGAGAAATTCTTCAACAAAATTCACAATCACTAACGAAGATTCCAGCGCTGTCAAGTATCCAAGTCAAAACAGAGCCTCCCCTAAGGACTAAAACTCCAGAATTATGCCCAACAGTAGATACAGGACCACAACAACCCCCCTACTGCCAGAAGGTGAAAATCCAGGAATGAACAGTAAATTCTCAAGACTCATCTGCTCTGTCAAGGGAAGCAGCATACCGTGTTTCCAAACGGACTCTTCAGACGAAAAGTGTAAAGGCAAGCTATTAATATATAAAAGCCTGAATTCTTACCATAAACAATACATTTATTAAAAGATAAACAATAACTGGCTCACAGCATACCTAGGGAGAAATTGGTGGTATCTGTCGAGCGTTGTTAGATTAACAGATTGCATGATTACATTAGCAAGAAACACACCAACAGTTATGGTGGTGGCCATATCTGCACCGTACCACCACCTGTGATGCATGAAGTAAATCTAAACGTGGTAAAAGTTTATACAGATGGGGCTGAGGATTCAGACCTAGGCTTCTCCTTTCCTTGTACCCCCCAAAGCTAGTAGTTTTCCCTTGGTACAGAGGAATCGCTACTGAAATCCGTCCTCCCCATGGAAAGTGCCAAGTAAGAAATGACACCAGTCTCTCAAAAACTCTCAGCAGTAGGTATGGTCCTTTGGAAAACAGCTCACTGTAAATCTCCACAAAGACTGGAATGAGGGTAGATCAAGCAGGTGGAAATTGTAATTAGCTTCAGAGCCTTGCCTTCTCCAATCTACAAAATTCTGTGCATGGCCTTGGCCAATAATGTCAGATAAGCAAACACCAAAGCTCACACACTCTTCTATGTTCAGAAAAATAAAGAAGTGGCTCTTATACAGCATCTAGAACCTCTGAAGGACGAGACACTAGGGAAAGAGACTTCTCAGAACCAGGAGAAAACAGTATGCTGGAGGATGCCCTGGCAGGAATTCAGCTGAGCAAAAGTAGTTGCTTTGGTATGTAGCTTTTTTGAAGGGCAGCAGGAGAGAAGATACAATTCTACTGGTCATGATCACTAGATTATACTGGCTAAGCTCCTGCAGAAATAGTAAAAAACACAATAGCAAGGACCTTAACGTCAGACTAAAGGATTTTGCTGTGCAGAGTTTTAAGCACTTCTTTCAAAGCAACAGCTGTTGTGACTAGTATTCCTCATGGCAGAAAGAGAATGTTCTCCCAACAGAATGTTGGGGAATTCAGCTGCAGATGTAGCTAAGGAAATGGATGCCACCCTTTCATAACTAGGCTCAAAGTTTCAGCACATCAGCCCCTTACTGACCTGAGGGGGGGAAAAAAAAACAACAAAACCCCCTAAAACAACAACTGATATAAACATCAGCCTCTTTTTAAGTAATATCAGCTTTAGAAACAGGTATCACTCTGCAAGGATTCAAACCAGCCACGCCTTATTTTCTTTTCAGAAGACTGCCATCGCAGTTGCACATCTAACATCTGAGGTCAGTTATCTCTGCTTCCTGAGCCCCCCCAGGCCTTCCCTCATGGCTGACCTCACTCACTTCTACAATCTGGGCCAAGATCCTTTCCACAAGATTCAGGGAACGTGTAGAAGCGAAGCCCTGTGTGGTTCTGCTACCCATACTCACAGGAGACAATGCCCCCAGAAGTGAGGTTAACAGTTTCACCTTCATGAAGTAACTGTATTCTCAAAAGTATCTACAGAGGGGGAAACACACAGTAAAGATGACTGTAGCTGAGAATGACAAGAAAGTTACCAGAAAGGGATAAAGCAGAAGTAATCAAAGAGCAAACATCTGTCCAACATTAACAAGGCTCCCAAGCCTTCAGCTGAAGAAAGGCAGACCACATCCTTCAAGATTATGACTTCTTAAGATGATCATGAGCCTCTTCTTCCTTGCAGAAGGTAAACAGAACATGGAAGAATAGCTCTTCACTCTTCTTATTGCTACACATTGAGGAACAGTTACAAACCTCTGTCAGACTCCATGTAAAGGTGTATTTCTCTGTAAAGGTGATGTCAGACACATCATCTCCAATTTCTTTAGCCAGGACCTGTTTTCAAGACCAAAATTTCTAAATACAGATCTCATTACTCTAACACCGTATTACCATAGGTGAGATTCTGGGTCAGCAAATGTCACTTTTCAGACAATGCCGTTGCTCAAATGAGTGATCTTATGACCTGGAAATCTGGAAAAACAGAGGTTCCCTAATTTCATACAAAAATTTATCAGGGCTTCATATTTCAAAAGATTTTATTTTGCTGAAAATGCTTGAGTGCACAAGACCTCAGCTAGCATTCTCCCCTTAAGTACTGTCACTGAATTGCATCAATATGATGCTGAGACAAGAAACAGCTTTTCAGCTGAGGAGAGGGAGGGGTAAATTAATTTCAATATTTCAAAAGATCATAAACAAATAACATTCTACAAGACTCCTAGGAAATATTCTGCCAAGACCCTTCCCAGTCAGGTGTTATGTGTTAAGCTAACATCCTCCTCACATACCCTCAATGTCTGTAGTTCAAGACATTTTGTATTCAAACTTTACCACATAAATTGTACTAATATTGTGTAAGTAAGTTATCAAAAGGTCACCCAAAAAAAGAAACACCCAGCTTATGAAGGACTCTGGCCGGCATGTGTGACATTCAATAATACACAGCAAAGCATCTGTCACATCTAATGACAGCAACTGTTTTAGCCATGCTGGGCTCTGTTTCTGTCTGCGTGTGTTGATGGAGGAAGAAAGGTCTCATAAAACTCTGTTCTGCAACATTAAAAAAAACCAAACCACGTAATACACACCAACATCTATGAGTCAAGCTCCTCAACTGAGCAAACCACAACACTCACCTTTTGATCTTCTGTGAATTCTGAGTTGTTGTGCTGAGACTGTGCCTCTTTCTGTAGATGCCTTGCTAATCTGGATGGAAGGGAAGAAAGTTGTAGAGTGGAAATACAACACAGAAACATACACATGCAGTCTCCAGAAAATACGTCAGCCAAAAGGTCCAAAAATGACTGCTGCAAAGAGTTTTCGGGGGTTGATTATTTTTTTAACAAAGATTTCTATAACCATTGTAGGCCATACTTAAGAAACCAAAACAACCAGAACCAGAAGATGGACTACATTAGGCAGGAAAGACTACGTATGTAACGTATCATTAAGGGAGAAGAAGAAGGTCCTTCTAGACAACAGCCCCTTTTATAAACACTGACCATTTTCCTCTCCCCATCCCCTTATTCTGTAACAACAAACCACACCTCCTGTGCAGACCCACTCGGGTACAAGCCCACAGAGGGAGAGTCTGAGGCCATTTGGGTTGCCAGGAGGTGCGGACACCCGAAGGCGATGGCCAGGCACTCTCCCCACTCTGGAAGCCAGGCCAAGGGCAGCTTGGCCCAGGCTATGGGGTGTATCAGCTCCCCGTTGTGCCTGTCAACATCACAAGCAGAGCAGAGACCCCACCCCTTGTCACCACGGCGACAGAAGCACCAAAGGGTTTGGAAAGTAACAGTGAGCAAACAGCTCCAGAAAGCGAAAGGAAGCTGGAGAGGGAAGCTATGGGAAGAGTTACAGTTTCCGTCCGGGGAGGAAGGAGAACATTAAACAAGCAAAATCTCTGGGCAATTGTTGCCGTTCCCTGTAAATAATTTCATTTAAAAAAAGCACAGTGGGAGGGAGGGGGGACAGGGAGTTGAGGGGAAACCCAGGGACTGCAGCAGTGCCCAGAGCATCGCAAGACACTTCCATCCGGAACCTCAGAATTCGCATTGTTAAAGGGATTCAGCTTCTCACACCGTTGCAGTGGGGATCAGCCCAGTTTTTGGTGGGGGGGCTAGGATACATACACCAAAATAGACTGCTGTCTAAGCCTGTGTCAGAAAAAAAATCAGAACTCAACTACTTCTTTGCTTTTCCTGAAACTAAGCTCTCTTAAAAAGACATAAGGATGGAGGCCACTGCAGCTTCTAATTAGCAACAATGAAAACGCAACAAAACTGGACAAGGTAACTGCACAACTCGGTGACATCATTCTCCTTTAAAAGGAGGCAGAAATGGTGGCTGAGACAAAAAGCATTAACACACTTGAACCAAATGTGTGCTCCTTCCCAACTGCTCCACTGATATGATACATGGGACATACAAAAATGGCATTTAGAAGCAACAATTTAAGAAAACATCACCATAGCAGCAACATGCCACCCACAACAGGCAGCATCACACTATTAATATTTCTGCAAGCATCAGTAACATGACCCTCTTTCCATTTGTTCCAATACAGAAAAAATACCCTAATCCAAATAAACACATCGGGCATCACATTTGAAGCTTGTTCAAAGTTGGATCAGACCACATTCCACAGACAGGGACATCGAACAGGGGAAGCACTGCTGACAGCTCAGAGGGCTCCTGTGTGAGCAAGCACCTGAATGAACAAGGGCCAATCTTTGCACCAAGCTTCCTGCACTTCCAGGAGTAACACCAAGACCTGAGCAGATATAGGTCCCCCAGACATTGGGGGTAAATAATTTCATTTTACATCAGCAACCATTAAATCCATGGACTGAACTAGATTCGGGAAACCTTTCCCAGCATCAGTAAGCTCACCGTAACGAGCTTCTCCCCGGCCTTCCTGCGTGGATCAGTACAAACCTTGCCAATGCGAGCAGCACCTGGCATACTGCAGCAACACACTTGTTCAGCCCATCTCAGGTTGCCATTTGAGAAGGCATAAACCCAGGCCGTTAAGCCTCTCTAGAGCTAACTGTAGGTATCTTATTTGCTGTGCTTCTTCTTTGCAACTTTTATAAGTTGAAATCATTATTAATTTACCTATTATATCTACAGAAAGCCAATACACACACTGAAAAGGCTCTGCCCCTCCCTAGGGGATATCTTCCTGTAATCCTTTGATCCTCTCTCCCCTTTCTTCTCTCTCCTGGAACCACAGAGTTCACCTACTGACAACTACTCTATTGAGTAGAAACTCACTGATAAGGCTTGTAAGAACTGCTCACAATACTACTACCCAAGAGAGGGTTTCCTACAAAGATATCACACTGCTCCAAAGTTAGAATAAAGCAAGGGCGCAGAGATCACCTCAGTTCTCACCAGACACAAGCGATACTGGGAGGAAGGGAACAAAAGTTACACTTCAACTCTCAAGCTGGACTATCTGCAAATATTTAGTGATCTTACTTCTCAATGAAGTGAGCTCAGAATGAGAAGCCTGAAGATTTTTCATTCTGAAGAAATGTCATTATATGAAACTGACTGCTGAGACTGCCAAGAGAGTTTAAAGCATTAAGATCCCACTGGACTGCTTGTAGATGTCCACATAAGGGCAGTTATTAAAAATACCTTCTTTACCTTCTGATGATTTTTTTTCTTTCAAGATACTCATCTAGAAGAGAACTTCTCTTCATCCCTGTGCCAAGTTTTGTAGTAACAGCTTGCCCTGTTTTAAAGACATTCAGCAAACTGCAAATAACTGAACTTGCATCATCCTGTCTGGTGAGAGAATGAAATGACGATATTATAGCATCTCATGACTATGCTGTAGATGGCCAGCAGTCAAGTTACTCTGAATGGCAACTGAACTGGTAGCCAGGCAACTGAACCGGTACTGGTTACAGCCCACAGCCTGAACAGTGCTAAAACATCTCCTGGAGAGCATCTCTTCAGCTGACTTTCTCTTGGAGAACAAGTGTACATCCTCCAGGCTTCTTCTGGAAAATTCACCATGAAAACTTAGCCCGCAATACTCAGACCATAAGGAAATAACTTTTGTCTTCGTGGTGAACAGAGCAGTAGAGAAAAGCATTTGACTGAAACTACCAGGCGTGTTTCTAAGGATACCATCAAGGGCACCAACACTCCTCTGACACCAAAGGATTCACGGATGGTGTGGTCCCACCCAGTGCAAGTCCCAGCCTAACTGGGGCTGCCACATCCCCCCTTCTCTCACCCGGGTGAAACACACAGGCGTGCAACGGACCACTTCTGGCCGCGATGGGAAATTCAGGTTTTCTCCGGGGGGAGGTGTGACGCTTCAGCAGCCCCTTTGCCCCAGTCGGGTTCCCCCAACTCCCTACAAGCTCGAAGCCA